GCAGTGTCAGGTGGTGCTGGAAGACCAAGAATATCCAGTTTATTTTTAACTGTAGTTTTTATCATGGGGGTGCGGCAAAAAGTGTTTTGAAATCAAAATGGGGGTGCAGGTAATATTGGGGTCGCGCAACTGCAACTGCAAAAAAAAGTTAAGAACCCCTGTATACATTAAATTATTTATATATCGATTAGTATGTCTCATCAGATTTAGTGTCTAGAATCACATATAATAAATTTCAAGGTATGTATGAATATGTGGCTGTAACATTGTGTTCAAAAGGTGTGCACAATAAAATTGCCAGAAGTCGGCACTAATTTGGATGCAAGTTTTTTCAAGTAACTTTAGTTGATGGGAAGTTGACACATTGCTGCCACCATTGTTTGCTGGGTTATATTCTAGTATGTGAATAAAATAGGTAGGATTTGATGAGATGGAAGCAAAGGATGTGTAAACTAAACTGGTAAACCTATGTGTAATTTAAGAAAATAATAATTAAATTATAAAATATTAAATTTAGGCTAACAGTATTCTTGTTATTGGCGTTGCATTTATAATTTGGTCATCAGAAGATCTAACTCTACTTCACTGACAATTGAATCAATACATGCAGGCAGCTAATGGTAACTTTTAACTGGTTGATCTCCATTAGGTAAACCTGACCCACCTACTATAAATGTATTGAGTCCTCCACTAGAAGGTCAGACATTGAAGCTTGAATGTCAACCAAACTCTCTTAGTTTACCAGCTGACCACGGACTAGCATCTGACATAGTCTGGCAAGATAACCAAGGACAATTTATTGGTATACCAGGAGGAGACAGCAGGGTAAGATCTCTGCATGTAGATACATAAAGTTTTAATATATTAGGTCTGTATGTAACTTAATATTAGGTCTGTATGTATATTCTATTCTGGGTCTGTATGTATTTTCCAAACTGGTTCTGTATGTATACTCTATACTAATTCTGTATGTATATTCTATGTGGTGCAGTAACTAACATGTATAATTGACTCAAACAACCGAACGTGAGCTTTATCATTGTCACTGTCTCTATCAACTTTTTAATGAATTTACAGTATTTGAGAAAAAACCGCTATAGAGTGAAGCCGCGAAAATCGAACCGTGAAGTGGCGAGGGACTGCTGTATAGGATATATAATTGGCCAATTTTTTTTCTCCAGATAACTCATTTTTTTGTTGATGATTTTTAATGGGGAATTAATTTATTAAAGACTGTAACTCAAACTGGGTTTTATTGTTCTATTGGTTGTGTTTCTTTAAAAGTCATCTGAGTTTCATTTTGACATTGCAGTTTAACATGGATGCTCAAGGTCATCTTGAGGTGCGGGGTATTCAACGCACAGACAAAGGACGTAGATTTGCTTGTACGTCTGCTGACAAAACTCCGGGAGTGTCCATAGAACCTTTGGCGTCAAACCCAAGTCCTTTCTATGAAGTGATACCTGAATGTAAGTTGTTTAGGTAAATGACAATCTATTTGATCTAAAGCCATTAGTTAACTTTTCAAACATTAATCAGTATTTTTTTTTAGTTCATCTGATTAATCACACAATCATTGGAAGCAGAAATCTGAATAGTGGCCCTCTTTGTGTATCAACCTAATGTGTTAACTTTAAGGGTAAGATATGCAGAAATATTATTTTTGTTGTTAATCGAGGATGAGAATTTCACATGACATTCCATGCAGAAAGTAATCATTATTTTTATGTTTGATAAATTTTGTTGGTAGATTTGTGGCATAATAGCGTGTCAGCCTCATGAACAGGAAGTTTGGGTTTAAATGTTCAGGATATCCACTAGCTTGAGTCGTATAAATGATTTGATGAGAATAAACAAATAGCTATTCTTAGGCGATTGGGCAGAGCACTGTTAAGAAAATGCATTAGTGAACATGGAAACATCATTTTAAAAAAACTTATTGTCACACATAAGGAATTGAGTTCAGAATTTAATGAATTCTTTGGTTGAATGTGATAAAATAAATGGTAAATCTTAATATATTCCCAACTAAACTTGTCTTTTTCCAGGGATGTTGTCAACAAAATTTTCTTTCTATTATGTTTTGTTGAAATGTAATCTATGTGTTGTTTGACCAAGATTCCTGCTATAGTTATATGGGTGAGACGGAAGAAGGCTATCTGATAGGTTTAGTGAACATCTTCAGGATAATGAATAAAATAAGCCATCCCTGGTTTCATCTCATTTCAACAAGGGCACATCAGATGTATTTATCACGGCTCTAATTTCTTGCACCAATACACCAGCGATAGTGAAGAATGAAGAATAAATACTACTTACGAGAAATCTTTGCTGAAATTTATGTTTTATTATCAATTCTGCATTTTCAGTCAAACCTTTGGTTAGTGACATGGATTTAACACCACCATTTGAAAACGATGCCCATATAAGGAAAAAGGTCTCAGAGGAGCTCAATTACAAGTGTGACATTTTCTGTTTACCAGCTTGTGATGTCCAGTGGACTTATAAATCATATACCACCCAGGGGTAAGTTTTGTTATAATAAATACATTTAACTGCTGTGTTATGTTAATATTTGTTAATAATAGTTATTTTTATGACTTTCCAAATTGTTTTTGATATTTTGTCAGGTTTGAGCCAGTTCCAAATCTTGAGGATGCCAAGATATTAAAAAAGTCAGTAACTCGTATTGATGAAGGAACATATCGTTGTAAAGCATCAAACAAACATGGAGAAGTTCATAAGGATTTCGAACTACAATTGCTTTGTAAGTTGA